TAAATTTATTTTCATCAATAATGTTGTAAAGTCAATAAACTTATTTATTGATTCAAAATGTAAAGTTTTTATCTATTAATAAAAATGTTAAATATATATGTAAAATAATATTCAATCATTTAAATAAAAATTTCAAATTATAATTTAAAAAATTCTTAAGATGATTTAAATTTTTTTTAATAAATTGCGATTGTCCTTGCATTGAATTTGTAAATTAAATTCATAATTTAAAATTAGATGTAATAATATTGCACGTTACATATAATAATCAAATAAGTCGAATTTGAAATATTTTCAAACATAGCAAAATTAGATTCAATAATAATTATTTTATCTTGTTAAATTAGTAAAATGATAATCACTGAAATGATAATTTTGTTATTCAACAGTTTAAGGAAACTATTATCGTTTATCCGCGTATCTTTCGATCAACGATTATCTCGAAGAGATTTGCGTGTGCCATGCTCATAAATCAAACGCATCATCGCTCACAATCGAAATTTCGGATTGGATTTTGCCGTTGGGTTCGTTTCGATCGGAATTAACCGATCCCAACTACTCCTAATGTCTTGCAAATTTCATTGCTGCCTCTACATGCCATTACTCGAATATTGTCTAGGCAAACTGGCCACATGGCTTCAGAAATTCGAACCGTAATCGATATAACTATATAATATATTTGAGAGAAGTTTTTTTATCAGTTTTATTATACATTAATACATCTTAAATCAATTATGAAGTATATTAAATTATCTTATAAATAATATAATTTTAAAAGCTTATTTTCAAAATATAATAATAATAAAAAATATTGTATTTATTTTTAATTAATTAATACATTAAAGTATTCACGAGAACTATCTTGAATCTGTCTTTTAGTTAAAATATTCTATTTAGCATTTTTAAAATATATATACTTACATGAAGATTGAAATTTTTTTTATTATTTTCTTTATTTTCTTTATAATATTTTCATTATAAAGAGAGAGAAGAAATAAATGAGATCTAATTTTGAATCTTTATAAAGCATGTAGAGTTTTCTAATTTTATTTAGTAAAAAGTAAAGAATTTAAAATGTTTTAATAAAATATATCTTGAAAAATAAAAAAATACTAGATAAGATATTTTAATAAAAAATTTATTTTTATTAAATAAGTTAATTTTAAATTTTCTTTTCTTAAACAACTGTTTAACTTTCGAATTGAAAAACATTACTAAAAATTTTAAAAGTTGTTCAAAAGATTCTATTGTAAATAAAATATATTTGAAAGTTAATACTCTTAATTTAAAATAACATAATGGAGATAATATCTATATTAATATTGATTATATTATTCAATATTTGATATTATTATTTTAACTAATCGAACAATATTATAATAAACATTAATTGATTTCATTTTAAAATTTTATGATAAATAATTCTTTGTAATTAAAATTGAATCCCTAAAACAGTTTTATTTATAGGATGACTTAATAGATATATGCATGTGTTTTTCTCGATTCTTTTTTTTTTTTTTATTACAATTAAGATTTTCAACATTGATTTTATCGAATAATTTTAAAATAGTATTATTTTTTGTTTATTTTTATTTTATGATTTTGAGAGATTGTCATGACAGGAATATTTTATAAAAATCACAGATTTCTCAGAGCAATCGTGAAAGTGTATTTATTTGAAAATCATTCTTTTTGTTTTTTTGTGGAAAGTTTTGATGTGTATACTCTGCTAGTAAATACGTATTGGTGAACCTTGCGGGTTTAATTTGGTTACAATTTGACTTTTTAATTCGGATTCTGTCGTTGATTTAAATTAACTATAGCTTTGTTTTTTTATTCTGTCAATTTCAATCAATTGTATGTATATTTTTTTTTACTTATTTTTTTTTCATCAAATTTATCTTGCTTTTTTAAAATATATATTTAATAACTTTTTTTTGTTTTTGTAATAAAATCGATTATTTCTACATATTACAATATATACAGTATATACAATATGTATATACACTGTATATACATATTGATTTAGTAATTTGTTTTTAATTTTATAAAAAAAATAATTTAAAAAAATAATTTAATTTAAATAAATACAAATAAACTAACATTTATAAATTTTATTTATTATATATCGATCTTCTAGATTTCTTTTCTTTTCATATTAAAATTAATAAATCTTTAAAATTATTAAGTTTAAGTTTTCAATTTTCATTTTCCAAAATCGATCATTGTTTTTTTTTTTCTAAAAAGATTGTAGATTTCCTATTATCGTTTTTTTCTTTAAAGTTTTGTTTGTCTGTTCAGATAGGATATATCCACTAGTGCGCGACATAAATTTTTCATTTTCGAATGCCGTGAAAATTCAAAGATTTCCCGCACATCCGTGTTAGCCCGCTGGCAATGTTGAAAATTCAATTCCATCGGCTTCCGATCGATTGTGGTCTCTAGCCCGAAGATATATCTGAAATTCCTCCATGCACTATCACCTTCTCTTCTAAATATTCTCACGTTTGTTTCAATTTTATCCAAAACTTGATCTATTTTTCCTTCTATGTTTATCTTATCTGTATTTAATCCAATCCTCTTATTTTATATCTTTAAATTTGGGAAATAATTAATTATTTTTTCATAAAAATAATATCTTTCTTAATCTTCAATTATTTTTCATCATTTTTCGAAATGATTTTTATCATTTTATCATTAACGATTCAAATAGGAAACATATTTTATAATTGCATTTCAAAAATACAAGAAACTGTAATTTTCGATGATTTTTCTTGTATATCACGGATAATTTTTCAATTAGCGATTCGTTTTTCTAATTCTAATTATTAATATATTCTTTGTTATTTTTTCAAATTTTCTTCTATATTTTTCTTTCTTTCTACAATTTTATCGATAATTTTTATACAGTATTCTTAAAAATAGAATTATAGAATATTTCATTCAAAATTAAATTATTAATTTTCTAATATTTTAATAATTTGTTGAAAATTGGATTGAAACATTATATTTTTTTTTTTATAAATCGTATTAAGTCAAAATCTCTTTATCAAATATAACTATCTTTAAGATTTTTCATATCAAATTTATATTCTTAAACACAACGTAATTCAATTATATTATTTAATTGCAATTAATAAATATTTTATTGCAGAAACAATATAAAAAACAAAATCTAATAAAATTCTTTTTCATAAATTATTCTTAATATTTTCTGTATCTTTTATGAATTAATATCAACGATTCGATTTTCAATTGAATCGTTCAGAAACGCACACCTTCGACTATTTCGTATTCAATTGAATCATCAAAATTATTCGAAGAGCCGAATGCACTGGTAGACACGTTTTCATGTTATTTAAATCGGAAGAATCCTTATTTTCGAGACATGTTTCGTTTTTTTTTATTAATTACATACTTCAGGATTATCGATACGACACTACACAAATTAGTTTATCATATGTTCTGTACATAATATAACATGATTTTTCGAAACATGAACTTTGCTTTGTTCGTATATCACACCTTAAGTGAACGTATATTAATATCGATCTTTTCTAATCACTCTATTTTTCGAATGTTTCATTTTCGATTATCCAAATCGAGACAATCACGTTTAAACCCTAAGAGAATTTTTTCAACAATTTTTCTTCTTTACATCGCACTCTTCACATGATCTAGTTTAGTCGAAGAAGTATCTGTTCCGATTTGCTAGTTCTTTCTTTTCTTCGCAGAGATAGTACAAAGATCACTTTTTCCTTGTCACGAAATGGAAAAGATTTAACGAGGTTTTGTTTGGACATCTGATCATGTGACAAATTGAGTCGAGCTAATAGATGTATATCTCTGGAACAGATTCTTCGACCATTATTCAAGTGATCTATTTTTAACATAATTGATTAATTATTTAATAACATATTCAACCCGGATCTTCAACGAGCTAAAAGTTAGTATAGAAATTTGATTCATTTTTTAGATTATACATCAAACAGATTGAACTAATTGTTGTCATAATATCGACTATTTACACCAAGCATTTTTAAGAAATTGAACTCATTTAGAATTGTATATACATATTAGAATTGTATGTATTATCTTTATACATTAATACTATTAATTTTGTTTTAGAATTCTCGATAATAATAGAATTTATGATTAATCAATCATCAACTTGTATTTCAAACAACTTGTATTACAAATAAAATGGAGAAAATTATTTCAATTATCGATAAATTTTCTAACTATGCTATATCATCTATATATTTTGAACGAAGTTTGGTTTTATAAGGATTATATAAAAGATTTATTTCATTACTTTTCCATTTTGTATAAAGTATTTTGTGTGTTAAATCATTATCCGGATTGAATGTGTTAATATATATAATTATTGAATTACTGAATTACGATTTTTAACAATCTATACTTAATTAATTTAGGAAAAATTTTTTATTTTATTTTTAATTATATCTTGAATTTTTTATGATTAAAATACATGCTTGATTCAATTCACATTCTTCCAATTCCTCTAAACTAAATGTGTAACGCGATGACATCATCATTACATCACAGTTATATAGTAAAAATCAAATTTAAAAAATTTATAGTATTCGAATCAACTTATAGAATACTTTACAATGCAATGTTTCGTTCACGAAATCGAAATGAAAAATCAATTATGGTGGGTTCAAATTTGTTTCAAGGGTCTTGCGATTGGCTCGACGATCGAAGTTATCCCCGGATCACAGGAAGCTCTCATTAGGAGCGTTTGCAGCGATGTCGATTGATTCGATACCTTGATTATTGAGACGCTCTGCGTCCATCTCGCCAGCCTTGATCTCGCAATTATTAATAGGATCGCCGTATTGGCTCTGATAAAATTCTTCTCTCATCATGTGGTTCAAGTTACTGCAACGGAAGTAAAGGATCTCGCGAAACGGTTTTCGAAAGTCCCTGTTCAGAGTCGCATAGATGATAGGATTCAATAGGCTGTTGCAATAACCAAGCCAAAGAAATAGACTGGATAAAAATGCTGGGATAGCATCTGGATTCTTGAGGAATGGCCTGACCAAGGCTAATACGAAGAACGGTAACCAACAAACTATGAAAGCGCTCATTATGATTCCTAACGTGGTGCTGGCTTTCCTTTCTTTTGCCAGATGGAACCTTAATTCTTCTGATGCGGCGAATTCGTTACACTACAGGTGCTGTTCAAATGATTTCTCACGATCGTCGACTTGGTCGATGTCATCGGTGGTGTGGTTGTCGTGGACGAAGAGAGGACGGGCTTCTCGAGCTTCTGAAGCATTGGACATTGCGACTCATGGCTTTTGCGAGGACCACCGGTAAAACACCGCACTGTATGACCACTACACTGTAACAACAAGAAAATTGAACAATCATTGAATTTTTATCCTTTCTTTTTCTTTTGTTTTTTAGTTTTTATAATTTATTATTATTATTAAAATATGATAAAAGTTTGCTTATATGAAGAAGAAATAGATTCATATAATTAGATTTTTCATGCAATAAAAGTCTATTTAATTTTTGTCACGAGCTATTTTTGTTTAATAGGAGTTGATAGTTTTATGAAAGGATTTCATGAAATATAAAATGCATAATAATACTGTGAAAAATGTTATAAATTTGGAAACAATTTTGCATTAATCTTTTATATTTAATGATTTACTTATTTTATATCAATGATACAAAATATATTTTCTATTATATTATAAAAATATTTATAGATTGGTCATTCTATATAATAGAATGACGCGGTAATTTAGATAACAGAAATTTGATTAAAATTCAAATAGTCAAATAAACATTTTTAAAATTTAATTCATATAAAGTGAGGTTCCACTGAACTTGAACTTTATTATCGATGCATTTGCTCGATGGAGTTTGGAGTTCTTTGAATGTTGGTTTTTCAATGAGAATTTCTGAATGCGTACTTTTACAGCTTTCAAGATGGCGTACAGTCTCATTGATATGCGTGATGCACGCGATGTTCGTGTTGTGGTTTCAAATTCTGTGAGATCGGAATTTTAAATGGAACGAGTGGATAATAAATAGTCTGTATTTACATTTGAGGTTAAATTGATATGATTGTTTAAGATGTAATAAACAAATAAACATCGTATTTTGCAATATATGTAACATAGTAGAGATAAAGAGAGATGATGAAACAATATTTATTAATTAAATTTAATTTTTTGAAGAATTTTATTCATTTTATAATTTTCAATTATTTGAATTCTAAGATATATTGAATAAGATTCGTTAATTATAAGAAGAAAATTCCCATTAAAAAAATTTCTATTGAAAACTTCTATTAAATTTATAAATATTATTTATATATTTATTATTAAATTTATATTATATATTGAGAAATAATGTTTCCAATAAAGTGTTTATAATACATATAAAATTCGATTGATTTTTTGTGATTGATTGAAGTTTATTTTAAAAAATCTAATTTATGATATTATATGATAATTATATAATGATTTTATGATATTTTTATTTATCCAATTATCTATTGAATTCGATAAATAAAATAAATTTTATAAGATATTTTATATGTATATATAATTAAAAATAATTTGAAATTAATCTTTTTCAAATAATCAAATATAATTGATAAAAATATTAAATATCGTTTAAATAATAGACAATATTAATAAATGAAAAGTAGATATCAAATAATAAAGAACATATTCGTCGAAATTCATAAACATGTTTGTAAATTACACACCGCAAGGCATGTTCTCGAATTGAACTTGCAATCTGTGGACGTGATAACAACGCTACTGTGGTTCTCGATCCTTCCGGTGAAACAAATCTCTCGTGTATATCACTGCAACAAGATACTGATACTGATAAACACAATAAATACAGTATTTCATATTTTGATACCTTCGTTAATTGTAAGTAATTAAATTTAACGAAAATTTTAATTATTATTATTTAAAATTATTGTACATTGTTCATATTATTACATATATTAAATGAAATATAGAAAAATATATAATTTATATATAATTTATAAATAATATATAATCTCATTTTTATTTAATAAATTGTAACATTTTAATTTAATAAGAAAAACAAGAACAGTAGAAAATTAGAAAAAGCTTTTAATTAATTCTTATAAAACGTAAAATCTAGTCATTTCTTGTTTTGCAATTATTTTTTGTGTTTTTTTATATTTGAAATCATATATTAGAGTATGAATTTTAATTAAATCCAAATGATTTTTATCCGCGAAATGTTTAAAATTCGTAAAATATGCTTATTCGTAAAATCTAAGAATTATATGTACGTGTATAAAATCTTCATCATGTTTATACTATCTATTATTAATGTGATATATAAATATATTTTATTATTTATATTTAATTGTGTATATTAAAAATAACAAGTTAAATTTAAATTTAAAAGTATAAAATTGAAAAGATATTATCTATTCATAAAAAAGAATATAAAATTTTGTAAACAAATAATAGTATTATTAATAGTATATATAATAGGATAATAGTATATTTTTATGCAAATTATTGCATATTTTGTACAAACGAAATAGGTTTGAGAGTAAAATTTAAAAAATGATTCTTCAAGCTAAAATATAATAATATATTTTCCATGCATTAATTGCATAAAAATCTGTAGCCTAATTGTTAATATGTTATTAGATAACTATATCTATTTTTGTTAAAGTTTTAAGAAATTTTAATTATTTGAAATGATAATTCATTCACTTAATAAATTAATCTATTATAATTTTATAATTTCAAAGTCTTTGATAACATTAAACTTATTTTTTTCTTTATCAAATATGTATAGACACTTAGGGCTTGCGTTTTAACTTCGTTTCGAAGGAGTGTTGAGGTAATCGGATTGCATGCGATTTGGAGGGGAAGTTGATGCGTTCAATACAATATATTGTGTTTGATGTTAAAATTATCTTAAATCTCTTCAGTTAAACAAAATACTATTTAATACAATATATTGTGCTTGATATTAAAATTATTTAAATCTCTTTAGTTAAATAAAAATACTATTTAACATACTTAAGATAATTAATAGATCATATTAAGTAATAAAATTAAGTAAAATATTATAATTGAAATAAAAAAAGATAAAATTTTCATCGAATATATTATATATATATTTCATATGAATATTAATTGGTGTATTATTATATTTTTGAATATTTATTACTTTTTTATTTTTCATATAATTACGCATTTTTATTCTTTTATTGTCGAGTTTTAATTTCTCTTTAATAATAAAAGTTTTATTAATAAATTATTTTAAAAAATTCCAAACAAATTTAATGAATAAGTAATTTAAAATTATTTAATAAATAATTAATACTTCATTTAATTTCTATTTTGTTTCTTAATAAATTCTTCTGTATTAATTTAATACAGAACATTTAGTAGCTTTGTTTCTAATTTATGATTGTTAAGATTAGCTTATAATTAAATGAACATAAATTTGACATTTATTGTTGTAATTGACTGACTGTTTCACAATGATCGAATTAGAATTACAATCTAACATAAACCAAATTAAATTCAATTATTCTGTTTCCGAGCACTTATTATTTATGAGATTTATGACCAATTTATTCAGAAAAGTTCCTTGCGCGGAAACTTTTTTCCATTATTATTAATGGTCGTCATTAAAACTCAATAAAGGATGATATTATCCGAGGAGACTGCTGTTTTGAAAAGAATTTAGGTTCTATCACTTTCAATTATATATTTTTGACATATTTTAGTCTAGTTGGAGTTGTAACATGATCTCAAAAGTGACTCTACAAACACAACTGATTCAACAGCAACCAATATCATCTTACTTGAAATCTAATAATAAACATACGCTGATCAATTTCTGATTATCAACGTATCTTAATGTGATGCAGATTAGGAGCTTAATCTGAGAAATTTTCTTAACTTATATCTCTTGGTTATTATCTTGTATCTCTATTAAATTTGAAAGAGATTTCTGAAGACAAAAGCCCTCATCAAAAAATAAGAGAGAGTGTAATTAATACTTCATTGTGAAGACATCATGATTCTTCTTGTAACAAGAAATATGTTCTAATTATTGGACATGATTACCTATTATAGCATTATGTGAAGAAACATTTAATTAAATCGTGAATATTGCAAATTAATATTGTGAACAAATCGTATTCTAATCGCCAGATATGACAAAAAGATAATTTTCTTGTAACTACATCGTGTTCTGACTATCGGATATGATCACTTAAATTGATATTATGAGAGACCCAGCTCTCATATAAACACGTATACTGTAATATAATCCACTTGTCGTTAAGAAAAGCATTGTCGCGAAAGAGCATTCAACATAAACATGCATGCGCCTAACGAGCTTTCATCCATCACCAACATTATCATGGATACATTCCAAACATTAGAAATACACATATATAAAGTTAAGCATATGTTTCCAATTTTATTTGTTAACTCTTTGCACTCGAATAGTAATTCTCAGATTAGACTATTTGAGTTCGAACAGCGACAATATTTATTTATGATTGATTTTTTTAGAATATCGCTTCGTGAATAATTTTCCTAAGATTTTTATAATCTTATGAAGTATAGAATTATATAATGTCAAATAGCTAGATTTTCTTATCTCAAATTAGATTGTGACTGTGGATTAAACTATATTTTCAGTATTAGTCTGATAATCGTGGTAATAAGAATATTATTTTCAAAGCTTAGAATGTGATAATTAGATGAAGATGAAGAGTTATTCGTTGAATGACAAAATTACTTCTATTCATAAAGAAATTGATGATAGAGAAAAGGAAAACAGTGAGAAGAAAGATAGAAATGAGATAAGAGATATAAAAAAGCGAAAAATAATTATAAAGTTTGCAATCAACGAAATAAGAAAAGTGAAAGACACCAAACGATATTTTACTGTGATACTTGCCCTGACAAACCGAAGATGCATCTTGGCGATTGCTTTATAAAATATCACAAATAAAACAACAATATAGAGTTTAATATTCAACATATTTTCCTTCTTTATATATAAAGATACATAAAATATTAAAATATAAAAGTTTTATACGTTAATTATGTGTGTGAAATCATTAAGAAATTTACAGAACATATAGAAAGTCTCGAATTGTTGGTTCGGCCGAGCAAAAGTCTCAAGCGCCAAAGGTTAATAACATTTTAAGGAATGAAATCTCTTGAAGATGAAAAAATCTTAATTTCTCAAATTTCTCATTTTTCAAAAGAATGATTTTGAAAATGTATAAATATATGAAATCATCGGAAGTGAATCTCCTGAATTTCATATTTATATAAAATTTTATAGGAAAGA